GGGGGGGGGGGGGGGGGGGGGGGGGGGGGGGGGTAGGAGGGTAGCGAGGCGGATGCAGTTTATACGGACTTCAGCAAGTCCGGAGACCCCCTGGTGTGGGGGGTCCCGGTCTGTCCTTACATCGGCGAGTGGGAGGTGAGCTTACAAAAAGCCCTCGATCGATCGGCTCGGGGAGCCGTACGGTGCGGGAGCAGATCCTTTGGCCCGCCCCGTCCGTGCGGACCCTCTTGTAGAGATGTACGTCGCGGAAACAGACCCTTTGGCCCAACCCGTCTGTGCTGACCAAATATCCTAAATTAATCCAGTTCCATTTGGCCCCGTATCCCTCTAAACCCTTCCTATCCATGTTCCCATCCAGATGCCTCTTAAATGTTGTCATTGTACCAGCCTCCACCACTTCCTCTGGCAGCTTATTCCACACACGCACCACCCTCTGCATGAAAAAGTTGCCCCTCGGGTCCCTTTTCCCCTCTCACCTTAAACCTATGCCCCTCTAGTTTTGGACTCCCCGCCCCTGGGGGGAAAAACACTTTGTCTATTCACCCTATCCGTGCCACTCATAATTTTATAAACCTCCATAAGGTCACCCGCTCAGCCTCCGACGCTCCGGGGAAAGTAGCCCCAGCCAATGCATCCCCTCTCTGTAGCTCAAAACCTTTCAAGTTTCACAATATCCTTCCTATGGCAGGGAGACCAGAACTGAACGCAGTCTTCCAAAAGTGGCCTCAACAATACAGCCGCAACATGTCCCTCCCAACTCCTGTGCTCGATGCACTGACCAATAAAGGCAAGCGTACCAAACACCTTCTTCACTGCTCTGTCTACCTGCCACTCCATTTTCAAGGAACTATGTACCTGCGCCTCCCAACCCCCAACTCCCGAGGTCTCTTTGTTCAGCAACACTCCCCAGGACCGCACCGTTAAAGTGTATAAGTGCCTGTCCTGATCTGCCTTTCCCAAAATGCAGCACCTCACGCTGATCTAAATTAAACTCCCATCTGCCACTACTCGGCCCATGGGCCCATCTGATCTAGATCCTGTTGTACCTCCTTTGCTGTCCCCTACCCCTCCAATTTTGGTGCCACCTGCAAACTTGCCAAACATTTCTCCTGTACTGAAATGCAGTGCATTTATATAAATGACAAAAAAGCGGTGGACCCAGCACCAATATCCGTGCAGAACACCATGGGTCATGGACCTCCTTAAACAAAAAAAACGCTGCTCTCCACCATCACCCTCTGTCTCCTACCTTCGAGCCAACGTTGCTCGGATGAGCCCTCGAACCAACGCAGGGTGCGAGGTAACGGGCCAAGTGTTTGGAAATAGGGTTAGAACAGATAGGTGTTCGATCGGCCAGGACAGGGAGGGTGTATTTCTGTGCATTAAAATGCCGTAAATGCCCCCCCTTTTCTCCCCAGAGAAGGTGGGGGTGCGTTGCTGCCCTGAACAGCTGCATTCCCACACCTCCCCCCTGTGTGTGTGTGTGTGTGTGTGTGTGTGTGTGCGCGCGCGCGCACGCCGTCGGTGGGGGGAGTTCCAGGATTTCGACCCCAGATACAGTGGGGGGGGGGGGGG